TATTATTATTATTATAAAATTGATCTAAACACACCTTGATTGCATAATTATTACTTTCTGTTCCTCCACTGTTTTACAGTGTGTCATTCATAATTTGCATTAAAAAACAAACCTCGTAAAAATCACCTCATCGGGATGACAATTCAACAATTGGGAAACTTGAATACGTGATCGTGTGACTGCCTTCTTAGTAATAGTGCCGTAGTGATGAGACGAAGATGGATTGCCAAAATGTTGGGTCATGTATGGAATCATTGCAGAGGAGACTGCAACATCTATTGGTGTGGTAGCATTATAGTCCAAGTAGATGAGCGACATTTTTTTAATTTGGTTATTGAATAGAGTAAAATTGTTGATTATGTATTCAGTTGGAGAATTGAAACAGTTAAATAGTTTAGGCATTGTAACAATAATATTAGCCATTAAATATATTGAGGAGTTGGGAGAATTGACTCTAAATCTAAACCCATGAAATCTTTAAACGATTTGAAATTGAACTGTTGGTTAAGTTTACTATCTTATATTAGCACAAATTTGAATCTATTAAGCAAGGGAGAATTAGAACGGGAATTTGTGCTCGGTTTTGCAAACAAGATACGATCTATGGTTCAAGAATATGATTCTTCTTTGGATTATCTTTTGAAGGTTCCGTGTTATGTTTCTACTGCTGTCGAGGGTTTCAATTTCGATAATTGTCGTAAAATATTCATCGATATACATGAAAAAGAAAGAAACATGTCAAGAGCAAAAATTGAAAAAAAATCAAAGTAGAAACAAGACGATGCTCTGCATGATGTTGGCAAAAATTATTTCAAAAATAAGTACAGTCTCTATGAGATTGCAACAACAGAATGCTACTTTTCTTCAGCGAAAATTCTATTCAGAAAACGATAGACCGTGGGAGGTGAGAAGGATTGACAAATATTTTATAAAAAATTAAGAAGTCGCTCAAAAAACAAAAATTTGTTAAAGTCGAGCCGAAGGTTTATTGGACCAAGAGTGAGACAGTGTGTTCAAAGTATCAATTACCACTTGTTCTTCTAGAAACAAGTACTTCTGGGTTCTTGTACATGAACCTTCGCTTTAATGTACCAACAATTTCAAGTAAATGGGCAGGCACTTATCTAGATGATGTTTTGGTGAGGAAGGAAGCAAAGGGAGAACTCTCCTCATGGTGGCTTCTCAAGGTAGCATGCTGAAGGTGGGAATACCGACCAATATACCTATTTAGCAGGGTGATGATGAAATCATGATGAGTAATTGTTGTTTGTTGTTTTTTTTTGTTGAATATTTAACGGTCAGAACAGACAACTTTCAGCGGTTATTGGTTGGCGCGAAATTACCGTGATGTAACATTTTTTAGCTCACCTCCCTCGGTCTAGAAAACGACTTCCTTAATTATTCTTGCTTTTAAGCATGAATTAGCAAATTCGATTGTGACTTAATCAGCAATAATTTCTAATTTGGCAAACAAAATTTGAAAGCCTCAATATTCTGTTTTGGCCGAACATTTATTTTGTTCTTGAAAGATTGAGTTCTCAAAATTTCCCAAAGTTGTATGGTTCACATATTTTGTAAAGTTTATATGGCAAAGATTACCTTCACTGAAGTAAATAAGCTTCGAAGATAATCTCAATATTAAAATATTAATAATATTGCGATGAATACAAAGAGTAGATATGGAATAAACATATTCACATGGGTTGAACATTTAGAAATTGCAACTATTGAGCTACCCACATTTCTATTAGAGGAAGTATAAGTATTAACACTTTTCGAAGGTGTAATAAAAGAAGCAGTACTTCCGCTCCAATAAGTCAAATCCAATACTCCATTCGGTAATCCAACATTGGTTGCATAAATTTCATGATTTCCTTCTACAGTAATGATATTAATTCCATTTCTCCATAATTGAATATTTGGTTTTCCAGCTTGTAATGGAATAAAGAAAGAATTAATACCACTTGAATTAATCATAAATGTATAATTTGAATTCTCAATAATAATTGTTAAAATTGATTGATCTGTTGTAAAGGTCAATACTTCAATTTGATTTGAAACACTTTGTGAAATTCCCATTGTAAAATTACATCCCATATTAGGTGCATAGGCATTGGTGGCTTCCTTTCTATAAAAATAATAAACAACATCTCTAATAATAGTTGGTTGTAATCCAGTTCTCCACCAATGTGCGTAATAAGCTGTTAAATCATAAAATCCGTTTCCTGTTGTATTTTGTAAATCAGTAATTGGTTGTAATTGACCACTTTCACTAAAATCATTCCAAGTTGCCACATGAACAATATCTGCATTTGTTTGTAAAGTAGACATCCATGCATTTCTATAAGCTAAACTGTTATACGAATCATAGAGTATGCAATCTTTTGGTTTATAAGTTTGTGGCATCATTCCCAACCAAAATAATAAAGAATTATTAGATTTTGCATTCCTAACAGTTGAAGCATATGCAATAGATGAAGAACCTTGTGTCCTGATCTCACTAATAATCTAAGACAAGGTTGCACAAAATAGACAAGAATAAACTAATATGTTTGTGTAATGTCCGTATTCTAGTATGAGAATCATCATGTGAATAGGATGTATTGAGAGCTGGCTTTTCTTCTAGAAGATGTGCAACCAATACTCTTACATTATCAAACTAAGTACCACAGTGAATTTTCAATTAATGGTTATTTTCAAAAGAAGGGTTCAAATATCCCCATACTTGTATGCTGCCCCATGTGTTAACTGAACCCCAAACTTGTTTTTTCTTTTTGTTTTGTAGAATGGCACTACGAATACTACTTCCTACATCCATGTTTGTTGTTGTCAAACACTTATAGAAATCGGACATAAGTATTCTCATGTAAGCATCATTTACTTCAGAACCCGTTGAAATAACACAATCAACACCTGAAATCAATGCATTATAAACAAATCCCAATAATCCTTCTCCTGGTACATATTTCCCTTTACCAGAGTTACAGGAAGAAAATACCACGAGTTTGATTTTGGATAAACATTTCTCACCAAAAGAAGTTGCATGTAAAAATTGCTTTCCATTTCTAAACAATTGTCCTGTTGCCATAAACTCATTTCCCTTTAGCCAAGAAAGTATGGTATCTTGAAAATTTTCTCCTTCCATCAATTCACTTGTTGCGTTAGAATGCATAGCTAAGTGAACAACATTGCATTCTTCGAGGTTCTCAGCTTTAGAGTAACACTGAACACCTCGGCCCATTAGAGTTTCTTTAATGCTATTAGATTCATGAATTGAATGTTTCAAATCTTCAGAATCCAGAATACATGCTGTTTTTATATTATCCTTTCCAACCTTCTTTGTGGGTGGAAATGTGGAAAATGATATCTTGTATTTCTCAATCAAAAAATTTCCATCTTTGTCTCTCAGTGCAAAAAATGGAAAAAAAGCTTCAGCACCATCTGAAGGCAGAATAATAATCTCATGTTTTAACTCTTCTTCGATAGGTTCTATCAATTTAGAATATAACAGTTGGAGATGTTTTTGTGTATAGTTTGATGGGTCAGAAAATAATTTGTTAACTTCAAAATCAAGTCGTTTCACTTTAACAATGGAGCCCTTGATGGTATAAATATACAAATCATCATTAAAAAAACTATATGCAATGATGCACAAATCAGGATCAAGTTTGGATTGAGTGTTGAAAAATCCCTTTACGCTGTCTAAATCTGTACAGTTAAATCTTGTCATTGACATTTTGACGATAAATGCTTCCTTGTATGACCTATTTTGTACTAAATATCTTTCATAATTTAACATAGGACCGTAAAAGCGACTTTGACATCCAAGGTTGTCTTTGGATTGTTTGAGTTCTGATAGATAGTTTTCATAATTCTCCTTCAAATATTGACTGTTGTTATATGATGAAACAAACGATACATTATTCGAAGCTATTCTGATTGAATGGTCATCGTTTAAAAGTATCGCCTCACCTAGTGCCATTTTAGCTAAATTAGAAGCCACCATAAAGTACTTGTTTTCAAAACAATATAATGCATAGGTAGTCAAAAATGAAGTTTTGTAATGACGAGTGAAAGTATAGGCTCTTTTTAAACAAATATCAGCAAAATATTCCAGTCTATTTCTATAATGGGCCAAACGTAATCTAGAGTAAATATTAAAACAAATGACAAAATAGCTATTGATAATTTCATCTCGTGTAAGTGATACTGGTGCATGTTCAACACCTTGAATTTTACCCATAATTACTGGTATAACATGTTCAGTGATACTAATGGCCTGCTCATGTCTTCCCAAAAATGACAATATCTCGGCTCTTTTTAGCAAACTTAGAGTGTTAACGGGAGGTGAAGTGTCACAACATTGTGTTATAATAGTAAATAATGAATAGGCCTTTTGAATATGATTTTTGGTAAACAAGTAGTCTGCAAATATGTATAGAGTATTCATTTTGTCCGTTTCAGTTGAAAAATTGACTTTTTCAAATCTCATTATCTCTTTAATAAATGATTCCACTGTCTTGTAGTCATGTTGGTTTTGATACATTGAAATTAGGTTTGTATAATAAGTTAATTTCGAATAAGGATACATTAAAGTACATAATTTCCATTCTTCTGTATCTTTAAATTCATTTGCTTTGAGCTTGTTAAATAATAGTTCTCCCCTTTGAAACACTCCATCTATTCGTGATGATCGAATATATTTATATCTCTTGCTTTTTAACCATTCTTTTTCTCCCTTGTTCTCGAATATTTGTATCTCAATATCTCTCAATTTGCACAATGTTGAAAATCTTGTTTGTTGGAGTTGACGAAAATTACTACTCCATTTGATTTTACAATTAGTTAATAATTCGAAATTGCATGTAACAATACTCCAAAGAGATTCATTGTCTTGAATAGTAAGTGTCAACAATGACAATACCTGCAAAATTTTGCCTTCATTAGATTGTAAATGTTTAGCATACAACCAACACCGTTCAAACTCTTTTTTACGGTAATAACAAATAGCAATAAACTTCATGAGTTCATCATTAGAATATTTGCCTCCCTTTGCTTGTTGGTAAACTTCTATTGCTTTACTAAAATCTTTCTTGGTGTAGTGTTGGTGCATTTTTTTACACCTCTACTTGGAGCTCTGTGAAGAAATAAAGTTGCGTAAATTTTTTTTACAGGTTATTTTTAGCCGTTATTACGAATTGACAGGCTTGTGATTGTCAAGTTGATCAAAAAAATGATTGAAATAATCTATTGCTCTCTCAGTGAAAACGGTTCGGATGTGCTGGTGCAGGTGCTGATAACCACGATTTTTCTCTCCTCCAAAATGTACAGGTATTTGGGGATGAAGATGAATCTCCTTTGGAAATCCAATGGGATCATTTCACAGCTACCATCAAATCGGCCAATGGTTATGAAGAACTAACACTCAAATTGGATGGAGTTGAAAAGAAAGTGAGTGTTCCCAGTGAAGACGAGGTAAGAGCTCCTCCTAATTCTTTCAAAGATGCGAAGTGTAAAAACCGTGTAGGAAATAATGAACAAATTAAAATCTACAAGGAGGCGGTGAGGACATATAAAAACAAGGAGAAAGAGATGGGTTTGGGTGATTGCTCCAACAGAGAATATCTTGATAAAATTGAACGATTAGGAACAGGGAATCACGATGATATAAAGTTAGTGGTGAAGAATCGTGAAATAGCTGACAACTCACAAACTTCTCCCCAACAGCACTACTTGAAGCGTGGTGACAAATGTGAGTTGGTATCAAAAGAGGACGACCAACAAGAATGCCATAAATCTATTACAAGACAGTTTCAAAACCAAGACAAGAAACTGGATATCGAAAAATCAAACCACGTCGAATATGGGAGGTTGATCGATGAACAGTTACAAAAGCACAGAAGGAAATAAATTACATTTTAAATTATTTGCGTTCTACACTGCCTTATTATACTATTGTCGGCAAAAGTTTCAAATGGTTAGAAACTCATTCAGTGATTTTCATTGACAAATATCACATCAACATATACAAATTTAGCTAAAGACCTGCAAATCATCTTGGTTAAAACACTCACTTCCAACAAATTTTCAATAAACACAATCCAAAACAATTCTATTTACCTATTCC